TTATAATAAAAACCGTAATTATTAGGTATTATATACTATATTTTTTTTAAATTTTATATTCGATTTTTAACAAAAATGGTGTACGATGCATATTTTGTAATAAACGAGGCCCGAGTAGTCTTGCAATTAAGTTATTATAATAGTTAAACCGAACACATTTAATTAAAATATGATGCTTAATCCAAATGTCAATAATGTAAATGTATTGTTAACGTTTTTTTAGTAACTTGCCCACCCCCGATTAGACATTAAAAATTATCTGAAAAAATTTTGTTTTTCTGAAAAATTGAGGAAACAATGTAAATTATACGTCAACATATCGACGTTCCAGTTCAAAACTAAAGCAACTAAAAATTGTAAAAAAAAAAACAACTCTTTAAATAATTCTCTCTGCAGCTTACTGATGGATTTAAATAATTATTTTTTTTTCTTCAAAATTTTCATCAACTAACAAAGCCTAGTACATCCCCCTTAATATTGATTATTGTACAATGTGCATTAATATTATCGATTAATTGTAACTGATTAGGTTGGTACTCCATGTGTTTTTTAAATTTTACAATATTATGTACATAATTAAAACATAAAGCCATATAGGTACATGGAGGTAAATATTTTTTATATTCTAAAATCAAAATATATTTTCATTATGTACATGAGTAAAAAACTATTTATTATTAAAAAACAATATACGTAAAATTGCTTTGTGGAAAAAATATTGTGCGGGTCAACTTTCTTCCCCCTCCTCACACTACACTCATGTGTATAACTGTGTTAGTTCTACTTTACGAGAAACCCAAAAATGGAGGGCATCCCTTCACTATTTTGTTGAGCCACATCGACCACTGGGTTATTAGTTTATTTCTCACTTGTGCATAAGTAACTGTATGCTATATGTTAGTTTGTCCGATCATTTTGCTGATTTTTATAGTTTTTCGCATGTCTATCGAGGGTAATATCGCGGCTATGCTCAGCCACCGCTGTGCCCCGTGATTTTCCTATCGTGTTAATTTCTATATAATCTATATTCGCCGGAAACCGATCGGATTTCGTGAGCATCGCCTTCGGGCCGGGGGATTGATGAATTTACCGGGCGATTCGGCTCGGCCAGTTACCGCGTGGGCGTGGATCGCTTTCATCGGTCGGCGCGGTTATTATTACAAGTTACGGCGGCGCGACCGGTTAAGGCGGACCGTAATCAACACACGAGCCGCGCGTCACAATACACACCACAGTCTTCGCCGTCCCATATTTATACATGTATAAATAATATACGTATACACACATCCTGCGTATAAGAGATATCTATATGTATTAAGGCATACGGTGTATAATGTGCTCGAGCGGTGGTGTGTGTGTGCGTCCGCGATATTATATCCCCCTGTAATCAAAAACGCCGCCCGCCGCCGCGGTTATGATGTTTCTTCGGTATCGGCGCTCTCCACCGCGGGCCGTGAGTTTCCCATGAGAGCCGCAAAACAACGCTTTACAACGCCGCAATGTACACTAGATAATACAGATGTACACACACTATACACGCGAGTCGCTCCCTCCCCCCTTCCCCCGCTTTTTGTTTCATTCCTCTTGTACCTCTCGGTACGGCGAAACGCCTCCTTGAAAACGCACCACTTACGATAATAAATATAATAATGCCTAATATGAGAGTATACACGTGTAGGTACGTGTAAAATGTTCATAACGATCCGCCGGTTATATTTTGTAGAGGAATATCAAAAAAAAGGATGTTTTATGCTTTGGCATAAATAAAAAAAAAACAATTGTTTTACAAATAATATCACATCACAATAATATACTGTCGAATGTGCATTCACTTAGAACTCGGCACATAGGCCAAAGATAGATCGTGTCATCGTGTCATTTGATCGCTTTATATTACTCTGCAATATACGAAAGACCAACACAAGAGTCCTTACAAACCGAGTAGCCGTACAGTTCCTCAATCAAATTGTTATTAAAATCATATTGTCTAATATGATTTAAGAACTTTATCTGTACACTGTAGTGTACTAAACAAGCCGCTTTGGATTATCATTTTTTTTTTTTTTATATTCTAATATTTTGTAATCGATTACACGCCATTCATCTCCAACATCTCGGTAAAATAATCTGCTCTGCCGACAGATTCCACGATCCATTGTGTATAATATATCAAAACTCTTTATCCAGCAGACGTGACGGTTACTTTCCTCGATGACTCACAACAACGTGCACCGAGCACGCAGTATTGTTTTCCGTTTGATCGAAACATAATTAAATAACAATATACCGTTTAATTTATTCAGAATAAAAAAAAAAACTCCAATAAATTCTATTATTATCGTTATAATTATTAGTTCAAAAAGTTATGTATCTACGTGAGATGTGTATTATTTAAGTATCTGCAGGCAGTCTGCTCTGGAATAAAGTACACTGGATAGTGGATTTATAAATGTAGAAAATACAAAGTCAAAGGTAGTTCCAGGTACATATACATTCATAATATATTACATTAAATATCTTTAAAGGGACATTGACATTGCATTGCGACACATAATATAAGCGTCTATTATACAGGGAGAAAAAATCCGACACATGTGTTGCGGTTTTTGATTTTCTTCTTTTTTTTTTTTCCTAAAAAATTGTATGGTGTCACGGACACCCCGATGTTGGAATTTTTCCATATTATACATATATATATATATATATATATATATTTTTTAACGTGAAATCTCCGCATTAAAACCGCGGTCTTTGTGGGTGTCCGTGTGACACACACACACACACGGTCCACGTCTATTGTACAAAAAAAAGATACGCGTTTTTTATAAACGAAAAAATCTGGCATGTGGTTCTTTTTTTTTGTTTAACATTATACCGACCGCATTAACATTGCACAACAAAGGCTACTTACACCTACTCGGCTTGTTGTTATTATTATTTTTTTTTTTTTCATTTATAAACTCATAAATCCTTCAAAAGTGACATTTCGAAAAGTCGGTTAACCAACAACAACAAAACCCCCACACGATACGAGTCGCCGCTGAGCCAAGGGACGAGGCATTTTACGGTCTAATCAATTACTATTATTTTACCAGGTGAAAACAATCGAGAGCACTATGAATGACAATGCCATGTCGGGGGAGAGAGGAAATATAGAAAATAATACATTAAACCCCTGACCGTTTAACCGAAAACATGGAAATATGTTTAATCCCTACACTAAAAATACTTGTGAAACTCGAGTATTTAAAACAGTTTGTACCGAACAGTCAGTAGGTTACCGTAGGATACCTATGAGTTACCTTATGAGTTTGATTATGTAGCTTGGGATGATTCTCTCAAAAGAAGGGAAAAATTGAAAACAGCAAACGTCTGACTTGTGTTATTTTATAAACCACCTAAACCAATCCAGGCAATAACAGTTTTAGCGTTCAATTTTGTCTGCTGGTTATTTTTTTTTTTTTAAGTTACGGAAGGTAACGCCGTGTATTCAAAATCTGAGTATTTTTTATGTAGAACGTACACTTAAAGCATAATCCTTTTTTCTATAGGTACAGTATTAAAATTTTCTCTACTAGTATCATTTTACTGTGTCGTTTTTTAATACTCCTGTATGTGTTATTGACTATTTAAAAGTGGCACCTTTTTCTCCCATAGCGTTTAATTAAAGCTTCTAGAGAATTTCATTGTTTTCTAAAGGCTACAACTCCACTTGCTTACTTTGTGTTTACAAAATGTCAACAACTAAATTAGAGTAGTCAACAAATATAGCAATTTTTTCTGTATCCAAATTCCGCGGGAGCTTGAAGCGTCAGAACTTTCCCTGTCATCTAGATGGGCATTTCTGGAGAAAGGTAGTACACTTATATAAGTAAGGTAAACTCCAATCACGTGGGATAGATTAGCGGGTTAAGCTGAAGCTTGACTGCGTTTAGGGCGTATCTTAAAGAGATCTAAAAAAATTAAAATAGATATTTTATGTAAATTCAACAGTGCTCGCCTGGAGGCTTTATCTCGTGTTACTCATCCGTTTTGTGTTGAACAATATTATGACGTGCACTAATCGCCAAAGACGCCGCTAGATGACCTTAAGACGAGCGTATGATATTATAACGGGTCAAAAGACTGATTCGCATGAGGACCACAGTCTCGGCTAACATAATACACAATGTTGTACAGGGTAAAGCAATAGCGCGTAACCGTCGGTAAACGAAATCGAGTCGATGATGAGATGTACATGTAATGATATATTGTGTGGGCATTTCACGGAAGATTAAACCGGGCCACCGAGACGTTCTTCTTTAGGTCTTGTATAGTATTATGTATATTATTATATATACAGAGTGTGTATTGATACGTCTAGTCGATGATCCCATTTGCAATTATTATTGCAACCGTCCACGGCCGCACTACAATATAATATCCAGAATGGGATTCAGGTATACTTATGGTTTTTTTTTTTTTTTTAAATATTATCTCCCAACGGTTTCAAAACAGTTTGTACGGACAACAACAACAACAACAACAACGACTACGTAGCGGACCATAACGCATAATATACCTAATATAATACAAGCACTTGTGGCTCGTGCAACCTTTTTTTTTTTTTTTTCCATCAGAAAAACACACTGTATGCGGTCATTGTGAGAGTGTGTCTGTGCGATTCGCCCGGAGGACCCATTTCGACCGCGTTGGACAATGCACATAATAACATTTTATCTATACTCACACAAGCGGTCAGTTTTGGGGTATCATCACCAGTGTGTATGTGCTCAAAAACTCACATTTGCGACGTATTGTATATAACCGCAGCCCCGTTCAAGAGTAAAAAAAATAATAATTGCATTTTGTTTCAGATTTTTTTTATTCAATAATAATAATAATAATAATGATAATATGTATACATAGTTTTTTACAAAAAAAAAAATAATAATAATAATAAATCGTAGCTAAACTAATGAAAATAATCGAATATTCGTAACTAACTATAACAAGCTATATTATAACGTGCGCCTTTATATGATATATTTTTTGTTTTTTTTTTTTAGTCCACAACGAATAACTTATATTAAACCGTCATCGATTGCAAGTTGAACGACGCGAGGGATGAAACGTCAGTAATTAATAATGAGCGAACAACGATAATATTAATTTCACTATTAAAAATCATACATAATAATTGCAATATAAATAAGTTAACGCGAAGTACAGTGTAATAATATATAAATATAATAATAAATCGGTTATTAACAGCTAAATCATAGATTAAGGAAGAGAAAGGACGCGTTCGACATTATAAAACAATAATACTATTTACTCGTCTCGTTCATACAATATTATATTGATTGCGTGCGTTTAATGTACTCTACCGCACATGGCATCCATCTGAGACAATTGACCGAAGTACGGATATCCGGACTTGGCTTCGCTGGCCGAGTGAGGTGCCAAATTCGTTCCGGTCGTCGAACCGTAAATGGTATTGCCTCCGGTGAAAAATCTGTAATAAGACAAATTTTTAAAAAAATTATTTTAATTTCAGAGCAAACGGTTACACCGGGCGGGACACGCGTTATAATGAAAAATATTCCTAACAGTGCTAACCTAATAGCGCTGGAGTCGACGCTTGACTTTAAAATACTTTCACAGGCAGAGATAGGCCTTCGGAAATCGATTTAGCGCCAAAACGATTTTTGTTAGAGAACCGAGGAAATATTTTAGAAAATTAGGTCTTAATGCGTTACCCAATTGGTTCGCAACTTTCCCATCGAGTTGGAGTATGTCTCTCCAAGGTAGACCGGATAGAGCATATTATATCACACCTCGAAAGCATTCCGTTGGCGTGCTCCGGTGTAGTGAGAGGTGGGAGGGGGGGGGGGAGGGAGCCGAGAGAATGAATGTTATTTAAATAAAATCGTTTTTATATTGTTTTCGGGGTAGTCGGCGTGCGAGTTCGGAAAGAACGAAAGAAAGAAAATCAACTAAAAAAACGGTGTACACGCCTAACATATAAGAAGCTGTGCCTACACATAATGAATGCGAACCGGAGGGCTTCTGGTGATGTATAAGTATTATATTTTTCCTCTGGTCCGCCTAATGAATACACGCGGTGGTCGTTATTATATCGTGGCGGTCGCTGTGTGTATATATATATTATATATATATATATTTATACATATTATATATACCTAATATACGCGGTCAATTTGTAAAAGTCACCTCGGTCGCCGCCGTTGTCTGTGCGAGAGATCCCGACCAAAGCGAGCCGAGTGTATGTAAGAGGTACGCCGCTGCATGGGTGGTAACGCGCGCACGGCAATACCTATAGTATGTGCCGTCTAATGACAAGTGCTTTTCAACTTGAGTTTCTCGAGAAAAAAAAAAAAAAGATGAAAAAAAAAACTACTACAACACATACATTTCCAACCTCTTCCCCCCGCCCCCCTCTCCACTTTGTCCGCCGTTGATTTATAGCCTTTAATCTGGCGCTAGATTAATACTACCCAGACATCACTTTACCGAGGCGGCAAACCGAGCAAAAAGGATAGCCGATTGTGTATGATAACGTTAAACGGACAAATTACCCGTAATCCAATTAGAGAAAAAAAAAGAAATATCTGTCATTATAACGGCGCACCGACAAAGCGGCAACGAACCGATTTCCCGGTCAAAAGGGTCACACCCATCAGCGTTTTCAAAATTTTAGTGCGGGGTCCTGAGACACAGCGAGATGAGCATTGGTCTACATATAATGTTATAGTTTACACCTCGCGCGTACAGCACAGGTCGTACCTACTAAAAATAGGTGAACAGGTCAAGTTACGGTTTAAGCGAGTCCCCCTATGGTGTTAACAGTTGCCATGTATTTTGTGATAATAGAAAATTACAATTGTTTCAAACGAGCCTAGACAAAGTATCTAGGACGTATATGGTGTAGACACTAAAGTTGTACAACAGAGGTATTCCTTTTGTACACTGAACCAAATAGTCAAACCAAAAATAGTAATTGTGGTTTGTCATATCGAAATTTTTTATAAAAATTATAAAAAAAAACTACAAATTATTTTGTTTAAAGTCAAAACTTGAATTAAATATTTTAGAAAACGTACAGTGACTATATAATACTATTGCAATTATGTAGACTATATTAAGTAATAAAAAAAATGTATTTGTTAAATTAATCAAATATTTTTTATTTTAAAGTAACTGTTTAATAACATAATATGTCATAATATATGAAACTATTACTTTTACAAACGATCGGTTTAGTGTAGGGACACCTATTCGGACGGCCTATTCTAAACAACGTGTTGTAGTGCAAATCTTTGATACAAGTTACAAAAATTACATTTTGATTTTTAGATTTATCATTTTCATATATTATTTTTTACAACTAAGCGGGTGTCATATTTATGAAGTCTCCTTATTTATTAAAGGACAGGTAGTGGAAATTGTTGTAAAAACCTTAGTTTTAAAATAAAACTTAAGTGTACTCTTATTTAATACCAGCAGCGAGGTGTCTTTATGGAAAGTTATTTTCTCAATACACTATCATAGCGTTAATTTTCAAAGATTTTCACTACTATCCTTGAACATAATATACGCATAACCTTATTGGTCAGCTATAGCTCTTCACTTTCAACTTAAGTTCAACAAGTGTACTGTGGATAATGTACTGTGGTTATACTCACGAGTAGCTGTCCGGGTTCCACGAGGTGTCCTTGTTGGACTTGGGCCATCCGCCCAACGAGTGATCGGTGACGGCGGCTTGTGGCGAATACGAGGATCCGTTCACCGCGGTGGTCTGGCCGTGATGGTGATGGTGGTGATGGGATGCGTGATGGTGGTACATGGTGTCGGCCGCCGCGGCGCCGTTCACGCCGGTCGCGTTCCCGCCGGTAGTGCCGTAGTTGCCGGCGGCCGTCGGGTAGACGTATCCCGTAGCGGCGGGCCAAGCGCTGTGTGTAGTACCTGGAATTATAGAAACGGGCACGGCGATGAGATTATAATTGCATTAGAGATCGTAGATCTACAACAATAGTATTATGTAGATCTCGGTATTTAACGCAACAAGTCGGACGGGTAAAAATGGATGCCGGTTTCGATTAGTTCCCTGATGTAGTACTGATGGGCCGTGCCATTTCAAAACGGCACCCTTATCCCGGTATTATGATAGAAAACACACGATTACCTATGTGATAATCCCCCATCGCCCCTCCCCTCGGCTCCACTCCCTCCATATCTTAAACGCTAGTACTAACGTCCGCCATCGCGCACTGCGCGTTCGCCAAAGTCGTGAGAATTTAATTTCACGTTCGGCAATATTTTATAAATACAGTGAGCGGTGTATACTTAAATATTTTTTGGTTTTTTTTTTTTTGTATAGTAAAAATCGCGTGAGTTACTACGGGAATGTCTCATTTTTGTCTGTGTTTTTTTTTTTGTCGAGGGGGCAAAATTCAAACGGGGTTATTATATATACTCGCGGGTGTATACACTGTATAATAATATTATAATATTATATACACTACATCACGGCGACCGGACCAAACTTAAAGTATCTATTAAAAACGTTACCGCGGTGTATTAATCGCCACGTACGGGTATCGTACCGTGTAATTTCCGTGATGGCCAGCGCCCATCTCTTGTATATATATATATATTCCTACAATATCATGTATACAATATACCTAATATTTATATACATATATACTGTACTGGGTTGAGATACAGTGTGGACTGTATAGGACCTAATACCCATGTACTATGATGATATTATAGTTCTGTGGTAGGATGGCCAAAGTTGCTACTTTAGTAGTTTTTCAAACTTTCGGGAAAATACTAATAAAGTTTTTACAACAATTGAAAAATGTTTTTGTTAATGTCACTTTGTGCAACAGCTATCATAAAACATAATTACACAATAGCTTACAAAAAGTGATTTAACTTAAACTCCTGCCACGGGCCACGGACTACTGCAGGAGTACTGCCTCTGTTAATATAACATAGTAGAAACTTACCTTGAGGCGAATTGAAGTTAGAAGCGCCGCCGTGGTCGTGGTGACTTCCGGAGCCGTCGTACTGGCCGCCGTGGCCGTGCTGGCCGGTCTGGAAAGTGCCGGCGGCCGCGGCCACGGACAAGCTGGCCACAGCGGCCGCCGCCGGGTTGAAAGCGGCCGCAGCGGCGTTCATGTGCTGGTGTGTGCCCATTTGCTTGCGGAGTCGAGCCCGGCGATTGCTGAACCAAACTTGCACACGGGCTTCGGTCAGTTTCGTCCTGAAATCAAAATCCAACCAGTTAAGTACAAGCCGTTAGTCTCTGCGACCGCGCAAGTCAGATCCCCCCAATCAAACTCCCCTCCCCCTCCCCCAGTGCGCCAGTGCGTCTCTTATGCTCAGGGTTCAAATCGTGCGACAGTAATGTAATTTAAAAAAAAAAAAAAAAAAGATAATACGTGCGCTTTAATTTGGACATAATTTCGCGAGGATTCGTCGGAGTGGTTTTTTTTTCTCTTCTGTTTTTCACCGACTTGCCGAGCCGCGGCCTGACCTTTGTGACACTCGGCGGTGTCATCGGCGGTGCGAGCTGCACAATGCACATAATACGTTAAAATAATAATATTGTACGAGCGCGGCACAACCCGGGTCGGTCGATCGTGAGATAGCGGTTCACTTTCACTGATGCGGCCACCCGAAGCCCGTCATTACAATATTATTATCATTATCATTATATATATATATATATATATATATTTAAACACCGACCGGCCGATCCATTTCCCGACGTATCTCGACGCCGCCCCTATCTATATAATCGCGCGCGCGCCCGGCGTTTGTCCTTTTATTATGTTTATCTATATACCACGGGCCGTGTGATATGTTCGTGTACGGCACGCACCGAGCCGGGCCCCATCTCATAATTATATATATTGTAATTAGTATTATTAGAGCCGCGTGGCGAACGTCTTACTTTTGGGCCAACTCTTCTCTGGTGTACACGTCCGGGTATTGCGACTTGTGGAACGCCCTTTCCAAGTCTTCGAGCTGTTCGCCGGTGAACGTGGTCCTGCTCCGCCGTTGTTTCCTCTTAAGGTGGAAACCCGGTTCGGATTCGGTGTCCGAATCGTCGGCGCTGCTGGGACCTGCAACCGCGGTGATAATAATAAATCAATACAAAAATATGATATTGTTAACAAAAAAAAAAAAAAAACCATTAAATTTGTGGCCGTTTGTGAGCAAACTTTCGAGACGGTAAGAGAAAAAATAATGGAATTTTTCCAAAATTATTCCGAAATCGGCTCCGGTAAGTGCACCGCAAGTACACACACAACGCACGGGGGCACGTTATACATATTGTGATACTGACAGGGCACATTTATCGGGTCCGAGCGAATGAGTAATCGCAGCGTTTCTATCCCGCGGATGTAAATAAATGGTGTTTTTTTTTATTTATTTATCATTTATCTTTATTTTTTTTTTTTTTTACATGAAAACCGGACGTATGCAAATGAACGGAGGATCGCGTTGATTGATTTCACGTGTCCGTAGCGCTGTATGTAGGTATAGGTACGTTTTGACAGTTTAGGTTGTTAACAAATACCGCGCGTTCAATCACGTCCACCGCTTCACCGCAAGTGTATAATATAATATTGTTAATAATTCAAAAAACTAATCAAATCCTACGAAAATAATTATTGTTGTTACCGATGTAATATTATACTTGGTGAACCGGGAAAATCGTTTAACGTCATCGGCGACTCGCGCTCGAGGCATAACACTATATATAATAGTATACTATATAGGTATATATTATATTCTCCTCTCCTTTATCGGTCGGCGCGGATAGGGAATAGGCAACAGACAGACCTGCTGAAATCGCAACAGTCGCATAAACAAATATAATGTAGTAGGCGGAGAAATGATAAAAAAAAAAAAAAATCATAAAAGCTCACCCGTTGGAAAAGTCATCAAAACGCACAATGCCACGCGTGTAACAACTTAAGACGTTATTTAAATGTTGTACATACTCGGCGGATCCCCCTAATATCCAGATGGATAACAACTCGATATTATAATTCGATCTTAATAGCCAGCTACCAAATTACCGGTTTCAGTGTTAAAACGCGTCCGTTTACATCTTCATAGAAAAAAAAAAAACAAAAAGAAGAGAAAAAAAACATCAAAGGTATTTTATAGGGACCGACGGCATAACGGTATATTATTATTATAATCTAATATAACAGAGCCTATTAAGCGATCGACCATTATAAGACTCGAAGTGCTTGTAAACGATACCGCGACATTATAATATAGTACCTATATATTTTTGTAATCATAATTGAATCTCGAATAATATACAGAAGACGCCCGTGTGCAATACATACACCGCGATTGTAATGTAAATACAATAAATATACGAGGGATGGTGATTAATCTCTTAAACAATGTTTGTTTCTTTTTATCAATGCGGCTTTTGTCGTTGTAGAAGTAAAAAAAACACCACTTGTCACTTGTCCCACGCTTTTCTCCGGCGTAAGTATTATATACTATCATCTTAACCGACGGTTACATTAGGTATAATATAATAACAACAACAATAACAATAATAATAATTAAATGATACCGTTGTTGGCACATTTGAATTACAAATAAACCGCGGCGGCCCGTATAGGTGTTTTGGCGGGTTTTAAGTATATCATGGAATTAAATAATTTACATATTCGCGGATACTATTGTCGTGGGTGGGTTGCGGTATTGAACAAAATAATACTATACCGAGGTGTACATAGTGTAAAATAATACATATTATATAGCTGTTATTATATACATGTGTTGCCCACACGTGTTGGCGAGACGACGCCAAATCCAGAGTAGGTATATAAAATAAAAATGTGAGAAAAAAAAATACGGGTACGTAGGTATATTATATATATATATATTTTTTAAATCTTAAATAAGGTGTGCGGGCCGACGACTTCGGAGGAGAAGACAAATCCATTTTTAAATTACAGCGAATTAAACGGGTTTTACATGTGTCGGCAAGCCTTTTACATTAGGGGACACCCCGTGGAGACAAGATTCTTGTGAAGCTGCCGATGTCCGCGTAAGTTTATAATAGTAATATGTGTGTAAATAATAATATATGTATTTATGTACAAATTACACAAAATAACGCTAACGTCACACGTTTACCGCATATATTGCGTGCCTATATATCGAACGAATAACTCCCAGTCGTGTTCGATTCCATTACCGGCCGCCCGAGTATATTATTATAGTATTTAAAAAAAAAAAAAAGAACATACGTTTTCCCGAAAAATAAGTAATATTATTATTATGTTATAAAAATATAATACGGTGCCCGCTGTACTGGTGGTAGCCGGTGTTAGGTATATTATACTAAACGATTGTAAACGCCTATTTCCGACCACCCCGTTGACAGTATGATGAATCGCGGCCGGTCGTGAATTTTTTTTTCCTTTATCTTTTCATTTCTTTCTTTCTTTTTTTTTTGGTAAGAAAAAGTGTTAAACCGTAACCCTCGCCCGTTAACTGGTCTCCGACCCTCCGGTGGTCGCCGGTTCTCACAAACACCCGCAACGCACTTTGCGGACACGCCTTTCACCGTAAGTCTTTCTTTTTTTTTTTTTCGCGGTCGTTTCTCGAGTCGACAATGGACCCGGCATCCTTTCGGCTAACGGTCCCGGTAGCCAAAAGGCTACCGAGATAGTCCCAAAGTCTGTATATTATCACACACGGCGCGACGATAGAGTTGAGACATTATTATTATTGTGATGTTGTGGCTTGGAACACAATCGGCCACCCCCCGTTTAGGACTTTGTTTTTTTTTTTTACCGCCCTTTCCCGCAAAGACCCGTTATTTACATTTTTTTTTTTTTGCCCCCGGAAAAATATTTAGGTCCTGCGCGTTTGCAGGTATATTATCTCTCTCTCTTTTATATAATACTAACGCACAACAATGCATAGATCACACATAGAATAGACACTTACCTAGAATGCCATCTATGGAATGGTTCTTCAGCTCGTCCCTTCTGCCACCGCGCAATAATCTGCTGATGGAACTGATGGACGGTGCCGAATTCTTGTCGCATATGCCGTCCTGCTGGGAAAATGACAACAAAAAAAAACACCCACATTTTTAGTATGCCTAAAATATTGTTCATTATATTATTATAACCCTGCGCGCTACTAGCATTACTATTGTATTAGTTTACCACAACCTCGTGCAGATAGGAAATATAGAATCGCAACCTAACCGTCGTGTAACCGTTATATGATATACACTGCAAACTCTTTGAAAGGCTGTTATCATTCATAATGTATAAAATACAGTGTATAGGCTATCGTGCTAGCAAACTATTGTCTGGCGTGACTACCTATACAGTGGCACAGTCAGTAAAGGTTAAAGGGGTCCAAAGCCATTGAACCCTTCTAGGAAAGAAATCTTGACATTACGCCACCGTAAACTTATTATACATACACCTTTTGTAAAACAAATTATGCGAATTATAATAATGCAATTAATAGGAAAATTTTATGTTGACAGACAATCGTCGCAAATTTGATTAGCAATCTGGGACGTTGATATAGATAAACCGGTAAAACGTTTTATTTGTAAAATGTTGATTTGAATAAGTTATAATGTTAATAATGGCATTTATTGATATGTGGAACATTGCAGCCAATCTTTATATTACATAAAATCCATTTAGCACTTATCAATCATTTGAACGCTTATAAATATTATATTTAATTAATACCTATTTGGAACAACTCCAACCGAATATAATAACATTTTAATGTAAAACACGGTTATCTAAAACCATTAATGGATTTTATTTTTGCAAGCAAAATAATTTGAATAAACATATTATTATGTTGTTAGTTAATAATTATGTAAAAAATATCTTGTGCGTGTACATTGAAACAGTTTGGAACACATTTAAAAATAATTTTTTTATACCTTATTAAAATGGTGCAAATATATTATTCAATAGTTATTTTTAAAAAATTGCCTATAACAATCACTATAACGGCTTCAATTTAATCTTTATGAGAATGTATTTGAGAATTATTATTATGGAAATAATAAAAATAATTTATTTTCAATTACTTTTTTGACGTTACGAAACGGGATTTATTTTTATACTAATGTAATTTAATCGGTCGGTAGCAGTGTTTTTTATTAAATTATTAGCATTTATCAAGTGGCGTTGAACGTCCTCCATAGTCAACGAGAGCCCACGGGGGGGTGACTAAAGTATGATATAGTGACTTTAATAGTGGACAGTTCATAATATTTGTTTGGCACGGCGACTCGAACGAGACCAAGCATATTTCGGATTGTCCGTAAAATTTTTGTTTTGTTGTGGGGAGGGGGTGAGAAGGGTTCGGGTGAGTATTGTTTTATCGTGTTCAACTTTAGTGCCGGGGAAAGATTTGACAATCAATGTATATGGAAACGCACCTTGACCAGTTTGTCGCGAATTTCCCAGCTGAACATGGCCGGGTTGGCTTTCTTGTACTCTTCGATGCGCCTCTCCACGTCCGGCGTGGCCACCCTGGGTTTGCTTCCGCCGATCACGCCGGGCCGGATGCTTCCGGTTTCCTGGTACCTGTTGAGGATTTTGGAAACGCATCCGTGCGACACCCTCAGTTGCCGGGATATGACGCAGGGCCGGACCCCGGCCGCGGCCATTTCGACGATTTTCAACCGGATGTGGTTTGGCAAAGGTCGGCCGTTGATGAACACACCGCCCAGCTGGTTCATGCGGCCCTGACCTGTTGATTCGACAAAACCCGACCAATTAATATGATTGTATTGTTAAGACGTGCCAAAAACTGTAAGACCGCGGTGTCGGACGGGCGGTCAGAGTATAGATAGTAGGTAGGTATAACGTTGATTGTGAATTACTCGACAACAATATTATTATTATTAGTGTTTATAATCGACGATATTACCCAAACACTGTGGGCTGTATCGTACGAATTTGATTTACCTTGAAACGGGTATCCTGTGAAGTACGGAGTCATGTTCAACGTGGACACCGCCATCGCGTACGGTTTGGTTTTCAAGGAAATGTTACTACTCTACGTGTTACAATACGAACGGAAAAGAAATAAACAAAATTTTAAATACGATTTGTAAAAAAAAAAAATCTTATTACACGACAGAAATCGGGCGTGTATAAAAAAAAAATAATCGAATCTATAATGATGTCACCGCACACTTAACCGCCGGACTGTGTTACCTGCGTGTGTTATTCGCGCGATGACCGCAAAACGTATACTACCGACCCAGCCCGGTTTCAAATTCGAGTACACCGCCAAGTGCCAGCTAGACGGCGACCCCGCCCGGATGTCGGGACACACGGGAAACCGGTCGGTCGATCCATTCCCATTGGACGGTCACATGCCTAATGGGCGTACCCATGTTTACCATTCCCCCTGTACCGCTCTGAACATCATATTATCAAAAATACACAGATATAGGCATACAGCCTACGCAGAGTATATTCTATGTACGCTGTTTGAGTTTTATGATAGAATATAGTATTGCCGATCATCCTCCTGCGTTCGAACCTCTCCCGCGGTTATCTCGCTTTATATGGTCCCTTATTAACCCTTGTAAACCCTCCCCGGCTACGCCACACAGTGCCGGACGAGAAAAACAACCCCGAAAATTCATGCGGATGATTTTTAGATTTATCCACCATGTCCCCGGTTTGCAGAGTCCATCTTCAGGCCGACGATAGTCACGAATGTTCAGCTGCCGTGGCCAATACTAACCAAACCAATTTCAACACATTCAAACCCGAAAAAAGTCAAAATCGCAAACGTAATACAAATTCAACTAGTGTCATCTTTTGTTTTCTTAAAGGGCCCCAAAACTCTGCGCGCCCAAGGGCCCCTGCATAGCCTAAGACGGCCCTGAATACAACGCATTATTACTGTATCGGCATCACTCGGATTTACTTGACCGGATTAACATAAATGTTTAAAAAAGAGTTGGTAAAATTCTTAATAAGATAGAAACGGTGGATAATATTTTTATTCACAAATAACATTTTATTCGTAATACTAAAGGTAAAACTTAAAAGATAATTTGACGAGAGAATTTGTCAAACGTTCCAATTGGCAAATAATATAAATTAGGTTTTATAATTTGATATGTAATATGTATTTCATACATTACCGAAAACAATTATTGGTATGTTTTACAAGTGTGCTATTTACAAAAGAAAAACAATCACAAATGTATTACTTGAAAACGCTAAAATGTTTCTGTTAATGCTTAAATATTACACTTAAACGTTTGACAAAATCACACTTCATGTTCATTTAATTTTGTTATTTATACATAATATAGGCACTATAGGTATCTTAAATAACTTTAAACACATGTTTTGTGTAAAAACTTTTAAATAATCTATGATGAATTCCATTCGCCATTTGTAAATTTAGTTTAAATTGTAAAATTTATCGTTATAGTTTAGGTAAGCATGTACAGTGTACTTATTAATTCTAAAAAGAAAAAAAAACACAAAAAGAACGAAAAGGACAACTTCTTATAAAAAATATGCGTAATGCCTTACAACATTTATCTAAAAGATTCTAACTATTGATTAATTTGTATTAAAAAAAAAAAATCATTATTTTCAGTTTTACAAAACAATGCAAGCACTTGCCATTTGTGCATCTAACTTATGCTTTACACATTCAATTTTTTAGTTCCAATTTTCAACTTAACGGTCTAGCGAGGATGTTCATGTGAAAATGTCACGAATTTATGTGTGGCTTATTTTTCATCTTCTATTTGAATAACATTTTTACTACATTTTAACAGTATCGATATTTGCTTTGTTCAAACACTGCATGCAATTAAATAGGCAATCCAATAATTTTATAACTGAAATATTATTACTAAATATTTATAATTAAATATAATAACATTTGTTGACGTGTTTTTGTCTTTATATAATGAACTTGTTCACGTTTTCTAAAAATTGGTCTCAATCGCTCTTTTTTTTTTAATGAAAATTGTTGATTTTGAATATTTTTTTCATAGTCCTTATTGTTGACCGATTAGACCCATTTTTTTTAACAGCCAAATATCTAGTAGTATTATAAAATGTATAATACATTGTCAAGATTGCTGGGACAATCTCAATGTTTGTCTTCAATAAAAAAAAAAAATATTGAAAAACTGAAACAAAAAAAAAGTATTTTTCTAAAATCTCTGCTGCATTGTCATATTTTCTTATTCAGTTCCCAAGTGGTAATTTGTACAGTTGTTACTCAGACTGCTTTGCTAACATGATCACGTCTGATTGGGCGGCACATACAAGTTACATATGATGAGAGAGGACCATAATATTTTTTTGCGTGATTTGCCGGTTCATGTGGTTCGTTGAGGTCAAATTCGAACGTTGTTGAAACTATCGTGAATCCTCGTGTCGTCACGACAGAGACGGTCTTGTAATAACTACACAGCACTGAGATTATATTATTCCACATGCAAAATGAAAATAATATAATAACGGTGTACATATAAAATTAGTTTTTTATGCTTCACAATCTCAGAGCGAGCCCTATCTTAAATATTCCTCACAAGAGATGGTATGTTCTTTTAATGGTAGTCAGTATACAACTTATTTTTAGTGGTAGGCTTATGTAGCTAGAGAGAGTATAATGATAAGTGATGACACTTAGTTACACTTTCCATAGCAAAAACGTGTTTTAAAATATCATTTAGAGATGGTAATCATTTTTAAGAGTCATATTTTGTAAATTGTGATATTGCAGGGGCTGAGGCACTAACTCTTAATAAAAACATGACAATATTAAACTTCTACAATTCACATCCTATAGGACAATAGGCAGACTAAAAAAAATTCGGGGGGGGGGGGGAAGCTCTCACAACCGTCCCAAAAATACGCCCCTACAATATTGTCAAAGTGTATTTACAACATGTTTTTTTTTAGCAAGAAATCAATAATTTAATAACAAATATTACAATAATATTTCCTAAAAAATTATAAATTGTAGTTCATTTTTGATATTATTAAACGAAAGTACTTATAATAATATTTCCAACCAAGTTAATATTTTAAAATAGCTATCAGTGTCGACTTTTCTCCAACTTTGACGTAAGTATCTAAGTTTGATTCATGGATAGATATTAGATTTTTTTTTCATTAACGTTCAGGTATACTATATTATACCTATATGATCCTTTTATCATAACGGGTTTCCAAGAATATTGTAATACATTGATGCTAATACTATGGTTTAGTCGCATAATTACACGGTTTATTATGATAATGATGATTTGATTAGGCTAAAGATCGATATGTGGTTAATTTGACTGTACTTATTATAACGTAATGACTAATGATCGATTATATTACATAAACTTTAATGGTAATTCTCGAGCCTCGCATAGTCACAAAATGTGATCAGTTAATATTATCCAATTACAATGATTTGTATTTTATTTTATTAAAAGCCAACCATACATAGGTAATATGTTGTAGCATAAGCGCCGTTTATAATGTTTAATATTTAATCACTTTTTCCATTAAAGTCCTTGCTGTTCATTTCGGTTTTAAGTATTTCCTATACTTTGTTGTTTTACAAAGCGTTCTTTTTTAATAAAAATATGAATCCTATAAATGTATTATGTAATACGTTAAGTGTACGTGGTCTTATATACAGATACGTATATTATAGAAGTATAAATATACAATGTAGTTTAGCCGGAATCGTCTCATTAAAATCGCCGTTAAATAAACCGCCGTTTAGCTAAACAATAAAACAAAACAAAAAAGTACATGTTATGTTTTGCTTCACGACCAAATCATTAAAAATATTTCTTGCCATCAGAAATTAGAATGATTTATTTCTCACATATGTTAACCTTACTTTCAAATATATACACAGTAGTTTGTTTATGGTAATTATACCATTTATATTTCACATGGCATATATACAAGGTGATCCAACTAACGTAAGGCACTCATTTTCTCTGAAAATATGAATATTTTGAGAATTTTTTTTGTTGATGCTTATAGCGCAAATGAGTAAAAATTATTTAACAAAAAAAAAAAACCAGTACAGTGGGGTCGGGGCATAGTGGGGACGGGGAGGTCACAGGTTTACAGGAATTTTTAAATCTGAAAGTGATAAAATCACTTTCGAAAAAACGCTTCGATGCAAATCGGTAGTTAGTATTTTCAAGCCAGTACAGTCCAAACCAAGCACAGTATAAACCAGCAAAGTAAGACAATTTTAAATTAAGGTTCTGTATTTACAAATGAGCATCAAAGCGTTTATTTGAAAGTGATTTTATTCAATTTTATCACTTTTATTTATAATAATTCCTGTAGACCTGTGACCTCTCTGTTTCCTCATTGCTTTGATTACATTATGCCTATACTGTACTAGTCCTCTCGGATAAAATCACTTTCAAATTAATGGCACAAGTTTTTTATACTTGCTATTATTGCACTTAGAAATAGCCAAACCGAACGATGATGCCTGAAATTAAAAAATCTGTTTCCTAAATAACCTAGAAAAGGTGCCAAAGTTACTATCTTAAGTAGTCAAAATTTTGCTTGGCTTTTTGGTACAAAATCCTTTAATAAGTGATTTTCTTAAAAATGATCATTGAAATTAAATTTACAAACAAGACTTGTTCATTCCGTGTAAGTAAACTGAGTTTAGACACAAAACCAAAATTACTATCTTTTTTTGAAATTTTAACGTATACAATCGCTAAGTACACAAAAAAGTAAAACCGTTTTAACTTTTGAGTGCTAAAGCCTCCTATAATATCATTTTACTTTAAAATCTCTTCAGATTTTTTTTTACTTTTTTTACCTCAAACAAAAACCGGATAAGACTTTCTGGAAGTTCGGATAGTACTGGAATTATGTAACGATTAAAAATCAGTAAATAATATTGAGATATGTTTAGGTAATTAACGAAACTTTCATTCAAAATAATAACATCTATTTTCTTTTATTTTTTAATTGAAATTGTGGTTTTCAAGATTTGTGTAATAATTGACTTATTTTAATTAATAAAACTGTTGAAAATGGTTTATTTAATTTTGACAAGTATTTTGTATACATTCTGAATAATTGAAGAGTAAAACTAAAATACAGGGGGAAATCAGTCAGTAGTACTAACAAATTTTTTCAGGTAATTGATACAGTTCATTGAAAAATATTATAATTCCTGAAGGTGTGATTTTTATAACATCAGGGA